GCCCTTTTGGAGGCACGAAAATTGTATGAGAATGAGAAAAAAAAATTGAGTCACAGGCTTAAAATTCAGCTTGGAATGCAAAACTTTGACGAGGTACGTGAAAAAGTTGTGTTGCATGGAGATGCTTGTGAATGCTTGCGTAAGAGATTTGAAAAACATTGTTTTTGTGTGTAATGGATGGGGCGAGAGGGGACGGGGGGGGGGGGGGGGGGGGGGGGGGGGGGGGTTTTGCTCCTCTGTCGACAATGTTTAGCCGTAAGCTTAGCTGACCAGAGGCGCTGTATGCCGCGGCAGCACAACACGAAATCGTCGTCGTCGTCGTCGTTGCTGAAGCATCATCGTCAACGTCAAAAAAAGAAGAGCCTTTACTGCCAAAATATTTCATCTCAACCTTGTTTCGACCATGCAACTACATCTTATCGTCATCGTCGTCGTCGTCATCGACATCATCATCGTCGTCATCGTCGATATCGACAATATCGACATCAACAACTTGCTAATTTCTTTCAAACATTTTTAAAAAGAATGGATATTGCTTGGGGGACGGAATATGTAGTGGTGTGGCATATATAACTGGGATTGTTGATTTTTGCAAAAAATTTAAAAGGAATTTCTCATGGTTTAGCATTGCGAATCGGGAAGGATTTCGTTGTTTTTGTGCTCGATATTTTGCAAATATGTCGCCATTTATTGCCACCATGTAAATTATGTCTGTTTTCTGAATAACCAAACAGAAACCCGGTTTTCGTTTTTTAAGGTTTCGTCTGAAATATCACCCGGAAGATAGCCGTGAGCGAAAATCGCAACAGGCACAAAATATTGCACGACGATTGGAGATTTTCCAGAGTTTGTACGATGAAAAAATCAAAGATTTGCACATTGATTACGATTGTGCTGCTGAAATTATACGTACCATGGATACATGTTGGTTTATGTGTTTATAATTAGCTTCTTTCTATTTGTATTATCGCGACCTTAAAGGTTATAAGTTGGACTAGTGTGCTTTCCCACTGTGTGTGTATGCGTCTGTGTATTTATGTCTGTGCATGTGTCTGTGTATATATGAGTGTGTAGATATCGAAACATCTGCTTATTTATAAGTAGTTGTATATGTATACAATTATATACAACAACTAAAGTTATACAACGTAACGGGAAATAGAGGTAACAATGAAAAACGAGATAGCGAGGTTCTGGGGAG